GCGAAAGCTGGGCCCATGTCGTTCTCTGGCAGTACCAGCAAGGGCAGGTCCGCCCAGGCTTCACGGTAGTCTTTCGCCTCAGACGGCTCCACGACAGCTACCACCAGGGCAGAGGGACTTTGCCTTTGCCCGTCGCTCTGAAAAGCTGCCGGGCCAAAGCAGTGCGGGGCCCGCCAGTTCAGGTGAGCAGCTTTAGCACGGCCCTTGCTTGGAATCAAGACTGGGTACGGATGCTGTGGCAGCGATGTCGAAGACTCGAACCACTTGCACCATTCATAGAGGGAATTCACGGACTCTTGCGTAGCCCAGAACGTGAGGCGCAGTGGCTCTCTGGAGCCATCTCTAAGAGCATATGTGACTGGCTGCTTACCCTCCCACGCAATCAGGTCCACTTCTTTCAAAGATGCCGCTGCCGTGTCCGGCGGTGTCTGCAAAGCCTGCCGAAATCCATCTTGCTTGAACTGGCCCCATGTGTGAGTGTACCTTGGAGTTCTCAAATCACATACTATCAGCCGGGTCAACTGCACCGAAGAAACAGAATAGACACAAAGAGCGACGACAACCTGCCAGGAGAGCGAAAGTGCCTGCCTTGCGCAAGCTTTTGCTTCATGTTCCGCGACCGCTGAAGACCCAGCACTTTGGCATCCACCTTCCCATAGCGCGGAGACACATGGAGGATGGCCAGGGACCGCTTCCCGGCCGGTTGCAGAGTCCTGCGGCTGTGGGGCAGGATGAGCAGCTGTCCACGTGTTGTGACAAGTGAACAGCTAGCGAATAGCTGCGCTCTCGTGCAAATCATTACCGCTTCTATACAAATAGTGCTTGTTTTTGCATACTATGCAACGCAATGGAGCAGATGACTGCCGAAGTGCCACGGAAGCAGCTAAACTCGATGCAGAGGGTGTCATCTGCAAATGCTTGCTACGGCTTGCTCTAAGATTGTCTTGTGACCTTAAGCTTTGGCCTAGAAGTCTGCGGCACTCCTACATCTTGCGGCGCGAAGCGCCCGTCCTCCTGCTCCAGGTCTTCAGCTGAAAGCGCATCCGGAAGCGCATTCTCGAGTGAGCCATAGCTGCGCTCAGGGTGGTCGTTGCCAGATCCGCCAGGACCTCAGCCCCAAGGCTTTGTGGACCAGGCCGAGGCCCCGACACCAAGCCACTTTTGCAACAGCTTGCCTACATGCTGCAGGTTGCGGGACGACGGTTTGTCATGCAACAAAGAAATGAGCGTCTTCAAGGCACAACGGCAGAACCCCGCACATGTGAGACTTGAAGATAACTGGGAAGAGACCCCCAAGGAGATGCGCAGGATTGCAGCACAAGGCATCACAGGGACTGAAATAAAGAAACACTGTTCCACCGAAGAGGCCTGCCGCGAGCTCGATCGCTGGAGGGAGTTGGGGGCAAGGCGGTGTTGCTTGGGCCGAGGGCAGCCGCACCTCAAACGGAATCTCCCATGTTGCAGGAGGCTTCTTGCTGGGTCTGGGTGAATGTTCAGAAAGCCTCCCGTCTCACCCTCCGCCAAGTCACTTCGCATCAGCTCAATTGTTGAATACATCGGTCTGCGGGTCTGGACACCTACTACTAGACCGTGGGAGAAGTTGCAAGGCATCGGGGCGCGGCCGCGGGGATTCTCGGCCCTATCGGGATCTGTGCAACCTATGCAACTGCAGGATGGGACTTAAACTACCACAGTGGTCGTAAGCTTGACCCAAAACCTCATGGCGCTCTCCGACCTTCGGTTCCGAAATGGTGATACATCAAGGGCGCTCCCGTTCCAAAGTTGCCAACTGCTCGTCGAGCGAGAAAAGCTGAGATTCCATGGCCTGGGACACAGCAACTTGGGTGAACTTCACTGCAGTTCTGTGATCACAGTACAAGTCGACGACATGATTCTGTACGATAAACCAATGTCTACTCGATGCTCGGTCACTCAATCGACTTCGATCATACCTGAAGGCTTGCGCCCTTCTACTGGAATGTGGGAATTCTGCGAAACTGGTACGAGGAACCGGGCTCCAGTGCTATTGCTCTGCCTTCACCTGCCGGCCCACAGCATGCAAATAGCGCCGCTGAGCCCTCGCCGGGCCGTGCAGCTCTGGTCCCGCCATCTTCGGCTGCCCGTCTGATTCGAACTTTGGAGTGCAATCTTGTGGGGGAACGTTATCCTCTGCTGTTTTGAGGATTCTGGACTCCATCTTCCTCGGGTTCTCATGTCGCATGTGCGTGGGGCTGTGCAGGATGCGAAGAATCCAAGTGCTTGCTGCAGTGCGAGTTGTTTACAACGAGACACCTTGAATCACGGCTACTGCAGTACTTGGACTGCCGTCGGCCCGCTGGAGGATTCAGGAACTCTCGCATGGTGCGTTCAATTGTGGATAGAGGAAAATACGCGGATCAGAATGTCACCCTGCAAACCACGTTCAGTCACCCATAGCAACCGCAACTATCTCCAAACCAATCCCGTAGCAGCGACCAGGAGCCCGCTACCTCCTCATCGCGAACCATCAGGCTTGCACCAAACTTCTCAATCGCGGCAGAAAGCCAACGCTCCTGGACAACCAGAAGGGAGGATATGTGAGCATCTGCCTCCACTACACTAACAACACACGCAACGGCTCAATGCAGCAGTTCAGGGCTCGGCCGCCGATTCGAAGCGCTGTCGGAGGATCTCGATCTGTCCAATCCGGAAGAACGGCCTCGGACAATGCAACAAGTCTTGGAAGCAGCTTTGTCCGGTCCTTTGGGATAGGACCCGTCACTTCCGTTCGTAACTTGCACGTGCCTTCGAACCAACAGGCAAAGATTGAGAAGTGCTTGTTCGATCCTGCACTGTACAATTTCTGCCACCTTGGAATTCACAAGGCAAGGAAGCAAATCATGCAGGCAGTCGTAAAGTTTGAATACTTGAAGGGCGTGCACCCAACTTGGACATCCCCCACCCGGCCTCATCCTTATACCTCATACGTACCATGCGGTCAGAAACCATTGCTCACAAGACCGACTGGGCGGAACCCTGCACCGCAACCAAAACCCCACATCCGGTCAAGGGCTCTGGCAGTGAGCTGAGGGGATCTGCCCAAGCGCAGCGCACCAATGCAGTGACTGCAGCATCCCACTCCTGCGAACGACGACGCTGTAAGGCTTCAAGAAAATAACCGGCTGCTGGGGAAGTTGTGAGGCTCTGAGGCCCTCACGGTCAGGGACCGTGCGGTTGTTTGAATACTGATGCCGGGACCTGCTCTGGGTTTACGGGGTTCCCCACAAGGCAGTCCGCAAAACACGTGCTGCCAGACTAGTTTGTGTAGAATAGAAGGCCCATTGGCCCGTGTCATGACCGTTTGAATGGAAATCCATGCGACTGTGGCAGTCTAGGGCACTTCACAGAGCTTCCGATCCCGGCGCAGGACCTGCAGCTGCATGAAGGTGATGCCGAGATTGAACTGGCGAGGCATTTCACCACGGAAACAAGGTTGACTACATCAGTCAGGGCGCAAACTCAACGACACGAGGTCTTGGACCATGCTGTCGTGCTACTGAATGCTGAACCGTGCCTGCGTCTTGCTGGAGTGAGGCTGACGCTCTCCATCCCGGATGAACAGGGTCTCCGACTTGGCAAACAACATGATCTCACGCTGAGGTTGTCAAAATACCGCTAAGGAAAAACCAGCGAGCAGAAAGCAAACCTGCGTGTAGCTTCTGTTTTTTGGAAGGCTTCGGTATGCGTGCCGGTACGAATGTGAGTTTAAAAATGTGGGTTTAGAAATATCTGTAAACGAACTGGTCGTAGGAATAACATGGGGGCATGCATACAGATGTCTGCATCTACTTGTGCAAATACAAATGCCTGGACTGTCCGTATGTGCTTGCAAAACAAACTCCAGAACCGAGGAACTATACCTTCATACATGCATGTCTTAAATGCGTGTATATATACATGTGCGCATATACACACGTACAGGTATACACTAATCTAGCTTGAAAGGTCACAACAAGCAGTAGTCAGCTATTCATACATGCAGTCGCCAGTGCACACTTTCAGTCGCAGCCATGCTTCTGGCGATGAGCGCCATTCTTAGAGCACCCTAGACCCAAGTGGAACCTCGCACCTGAGGCTGCTGCATCCTGCCAGTCGCTCACTCGTAGAACCGAGCGCAGGGTGAGCGCTGCGAATGCGGAACAAACCTTGGGAACACAAGTGCCAGAAGGGCAGCTGCCTCAACAGCAGCAACAACAACAACGACTCCCACTACCACTACTACTGCTGCTACTACTACTACTACTACTACTGCTACTACTACTACTACTACTACTACCACTACTACTACTACTACTACTACTACTACTACTCCTACTAGTTACTACTACTACTACTACTACTACTACTACTACTACCACTACCACTACCACTACCACTACCACTACCACTACCACCTACTACTACCACCTACTACTACCACCTACTACTACCACCTACTACTACTACTACTACTACTACTACTACTACCACTCTACGACTAGCACTACAATCTCACATACCATTGCAACAACAACAACAACAGCTGCTGCTGCTGCTGCTGCTGCTACTACTACTACTACCACTACTACTACTGCTACTACTACCCCCCACCACTACTACTGTACCACGGCTACCACTACCACTACTACTACTTCTCCTGCTACCACCACCACTACTACTAATAACCATAAACTTAATGTTAATCATGAAGCAAAACTTCTGCAACAACCAATGCAGATCATGAGGATAGTCACACGCACAGTCGCAGCAGAGAAGCTGAAAGAAACTAGGCACTCATTCTGTAGGCAGGTCGCAAAACAGTTGCATTTGAAAAACGAAGCTAGAGTCAGCTAGAGCAACAGCTGTATGCCGCCATACGCTGCCTGGGGCGCTGGCCAGAATGATGACCTTGAACGCGCGTCGCATCGCCTGCAACAAACAGCACCATTTAGCCTCTCGTGCTCTCTCAAGTATTCCCTGGCCTACAACTTCATTGCGCTAAGTGGCCGAAACCTGCACTCCAAAACCTCAATATTGTGATATCTTTGCTTCAAGATCGTAGAAGCCTCGGCGCGGCCACTGCCGACACCCCAGCTGTGGATCTGCTGCCCAGGGATCTGCGGCTGTGAAAGCAACGAGGGCTCGCTGAAAGTCTTCTCTTCAGGCTTGCCAAGATCGTCTTCTGCGTGGGATTAAATCAGGACTTTAAACTATGGCGGCTTAGGGATTCCCAGAATGCCTGAGGCGCACCGGCACGACTGATGTGCCGAGTGCCGTTCTGCTCTGGGCCTCAGCAAGGGGGCGCAGGGATCCATGAAAGCTAGTGAAATGCTTGCAAACATTTTTCGCACTGCACTGGTGATGGATACCTTAGTCTCCGACGTCGCGGCAGCACCCACGGTCTACTCTGAGCACCCTGAAGGTAAGAGTGTAGCACCTCCGAGACTGGTCACAACATCACTTGCACTGCGACACTCGATGCGAATTTTGAGTAGCGTCTGTGCAGCGCATTCAGAGTATCCAGTGCCCCTTCCGATGGTTTGCAGAATGGCAAACTGAATGCATCGAGGACAGGGCCACGATGACAGCAAGGCAGTAGCCAGCAGATGGCACATACAGCAGGCGCTCTCCTACAACCTTGGTAGCGCCGGATGGCACGCGACCGTGGGGATGAGAAAGATGCACCTAGCACAGACAGCATCTCACCCCTTCTTGGGCCCAGACCGTACCTACTGGAAAGAGGATGTTGCCTTCAAGAGCGCAGGTGTGCAAACTCTCGAACGGCTTCTGACAGCAATCTGAGCAAGAGCCATGGAGATTGCACAAACTGTCCCCATAACTTCAATTCCGGCAGCCCGTGTTCGTGTATACTTCGACACTCGCAAACTGGGAAGCGGACTCGCTGGGAGGTAGGAAACCACCTCTGCATGTGGAAACTTGTCCGAGTTCCAAGGGTTGAGTCTTACGAAGTTTCAACGATGTCAGCAGCAAAGGCCTTGGAAAGCCAGAAACATAACACTCCAGTTTACACCGTCTACACGTCGTGGACGCAGTGATGAGGAACAGAGTACTTACGTTGCGACAAGCCGTCTATAGAAGCCCTGCACGAGCTGCCGAGCCGGAAGGCGGGCTTCCAAGCCTCACAAACTGGGATCCTACAATCACCTGCAGCTCGTTGCCTGCGTCCTTGCGACGCTTGCGGCCTTGCAACCGTTGGGACGACAGCTGTGCACAAGCTCGGCCCAGGGCCAGCAAAGCGAGCGCGATGAGACCAGCGCGTCTATGCCGGGCCGGAAGCTGCCTTGCTGCAGGGGAGATGATCGTGCCGCACAAGATAACTTGCACGGGCATTCTGTAGGCATAGTTATAGTGCAGCTCAACATGCAGGCTCAGATCAAATCGAGGGCAAGACGGTTTCAAACGCGTTGACTCGACGACTTGACTGCACGGGCAAAGGCAAGCTGGGGCGCTGGAGTTGTTGCAGAGATGTTGTGTCAAGCGGGGGACACGCAAGCTACCATCAAAAAACACACGGCAGACTCAAATTCCGAAGCGGCGAACCTAACCATGTTCTCAAACCTTTTCGATTCGAGTACATCCCGCTTTGAACCATCTCCCGCAAACCATGCACTGAACTGTCCGTTTCCCAGAAACGTCCAACATTGGGGGCCCAGGCATGACGAAGCTGACAGTTCCGATGGCACCCACATAGGCGGCCAATGGCAGGAGCATTCGGCAATCGGTCATCTCCCGCACCTTGAAGTTGGGCAAACACCCTCGAGCAAAAGATTCAGCACAGGATCCCGACAGAGATGGTGTGGACAAGATGCAAGATTGACTCGCATACTGGAGTACATGACGGACAGATCTTCAAACTTAGTCAGCTACAATCGGAATGGCGTCCATGGAGTAGTCGTAGCCTTGAAGCAAGTATGAAGAAACAGGACGATGCATATCAGTTTACGACATTCATCCACTGTCGGCTCCACTAGTTCTTTCTGAGTCCTCTCGCACAGCATGCTTCGCAGAAACGCAGAACTGTCATCTCGGTTCCACACACAGATACTGTGGCCAGACCAGCAGCCTTGAGAAGCGGAAACCCCAAGCACTGCATGGCCTCCCTCATCGCACCAGTCACGTCCAACTCCAGACGAGGCGTTGACCGCATGTACACGCCATGCAGAAAAGAGTAGGACAGCACTCTGGCCTGCGGGGCACTGACTGAGCTCTGACTATCCGCTGGTGGAAACTTGCCCCGTGTGACACACGCGAAGCTGAACCTTCCCAGCACTTGACTATACTACGTATGTATGTATGTATGTATGTATGTATGTATGTATGTATGCTACCACACGAGGTGCCTTTGTTGCTCTAAAGGGGCAGAGTTCGAATCAGATCCGAAATCGCCCACAGAACTAGGCCACGGATCGAATTTTCGACTTGGGGGTTCCGCGAACAGCACCACATTTTGCCCTGTTGATGTAAGTTGTCACCCTGTGCCCACCAATGCTACGCATGCATCTGCTGTGTAAAACAAATTAAGGCATGATACTAGGACATACTGCAAGATGCAACATTGCATCAATGACAATGTAGCTTGTTGTATGTGTTGGGTGTGTACATCATTATGTTGTGGTCAACAATCGGTACAGCAGAAACGATACGGTGCTTTCAATGTTTTCGTCCTGTGGAGGCTGTAGAGGGTCATTTCGACGTTCATCGTAAGTGTTTGTGCGCTGTCTGTGTGTGTGTGTGCGTATCTAGTTTCTAGTTGCTCTCCATGTGCCTCTACTTACTCTCGACGGAAATGTAACTTGAGCATATTTCAACGTGAGTGGCCGCAAACGCAGAAAATCGCAGAACACATGTCAACAGCGACCTAAAATTTTGGATGTCTTGATCCATTTGGATTGTGTCTTTCTCGGGTCATTAGGTGTTGCTTTCGATTTTCTTCTCTACACTTCGGGGGCTTCAGAAAAATCCGAAAGTAGCAGAACCACCAGTCACTACTTGTAGTGGGCTCACATGATACTGGGAAACCGATGCCCCCTAAAGCCTGGCTGTCCCGGAGACCAACACGGAACTAGTCGTATTATAGTTACTATTCTCATACGATCAATACTGGTATTAACTACGGTACTTATGTGTTTACTATGACATCATGCACAGATGAGTTCTCATGTAGTTTGCGGGGACGTGCATATGAAATTAGAGCTTGACTGCGCATCCAGCAGTCTATTTGTTTCATTTGCTTGTGCCAATCCAAAACTGCCTTACAAGTATGACCCAAGAAGAAAAGGCACACAAGCCCCACCCCTACGTATAATCTTGTCTTCGCCGTTGGGCTCTGCGTGTCTGCCAACGAGTCCGCCCACGCTCTGAAGCTCAGCTAAAACATGCTAAGCCCTACATAAACGAAGCTGGCAGCTTTCATCGGGAGCTCCCGGAAGCCTTCCACTCCGACTCAAAGCTGATGGGGTTGTCTTGTGGCGACCTGGGAGGGAACCACGTGATGTTTGCTGCATGTGCAGACCCTGCACTGACTGGGCCGTGCGCATGTTCAGCTTGGTTCCCCCAGTGTGGCGATAGCGGGCGACGAAGACACAGATGGCGCCTTGCATGCCAATCGGTTGCCAGTGGCCGACACACTCAGACCCGGAGTGGTTGGGGTCAGCCGGGAAATCCCTGGAGTGCATCACCTGGGAAATCTTGTCAATGACACGGACCTGCAAACCAAAACTTCCAGGCTTCTGGCTGGCCAGCAGTAGTCCCACCCGTAGCCTGCACCAATGTATCGCTGACATCCAAACTGGACAGCAGTCCTGAAAAGAGAACGAAACGTCATCACAAGAAACGGCGGCCTAGAAGCTTAAGACTTACTTCGGGGAAACATGTACAGGCAGTACGGCTGCCGGTGGCTTTGACAGCTGCTGTATCAACTACGGACGAAAAGCATACTCAGACCGGGCAAAGGCGACTGAGACGCATGCCGTCGGGCTGAACCGAGCAAGAACTATCCGATTTCGCAAGCCAGCCTCAAGCGCCGAATGATACCTGAGCTGTGCTTTGCACGGGAACCTGCAACTGGCTTCATCGAAACCATGGAAAACGCGAGGCCAGCGGACTGTGGAGTCTGTGTGCGTCTACGCAGGGACGGGACAGGATCCCGGCGTCGTCCCATACGCTCTTTGTGATGACGTGCTAGGGCCTGCCCAGCATCGCGCTCTTTACTCTTTCCCGCGTTGCCGGCAACTGATTGCTGGAACTGGTCTGCGACCTGTGCTGTCAGGAAGTCCAGCAGCTCCATCAAGAAAGGAATTGCGAACAGTGTGAAGCCGGACTCCTGCGCCAGACATTGAGGTTGCCTAGCTCGGCCATGCGCTCCGGGGAGAAACAGACGGGTCCACTGTGCCATATGATCTCAACCAAAATCGGCCAAGCCGGGGCCGCCTTGCACAAGCCGCTGGCCTGCGCCCCAGGGTTTGCATGAGTTTCCATTAGAAGGGCTCGCAGAATCCAGCTTTAGGACGAACTCTGACGCTCGGTGCTGATGCATAGTAGATGCACCCCTGAAGACTGTCGTCACACTTCTGGGCTCCTTGCGATGATCAGTGCCACCGGCACGGCTAGCCAAACCGGATTCTGAGACGCACCTTGCCAGGGTCCATGCGAAGTAGCAGCATCTGCCGTAGAATATTCAGACGGTCAATTCTGAGAGATGGATGACGCCTTCCACATGCAGCTTGAGATTTGTTATGATCTGTTCAAGAAGACCGAATAATCAAGACGTCCTGGTCGGCATTCTGACATCATGGGTTTGAAGTTACTTTGGACGATGTGGCGAAACTCCAAGCGCATCCAGCCACCCCGAAAATCTATTGCAGGGAAGAACAGCAGACTGATGTCGATCCCTCAAAGCGTCTTCTGCCTTCAGGCAGCACCCGCACGCTAAGACCCTGTTCAACGACCCACCTTCGCCCAGAGAGGGGGTGAAGCAGTGCGAATCGAAAGGCCGCACTCGGAGGCTCGTCCAAAGAGGCCTTCCGGCAAGGCTCGCGGGAAGGCAAAAGAAGTCTGCAGGCCGCATGATTAAGGGCTTCGTCATGAGTCCTCCTGTGATACTTGTCGATGCTTTGTCACGAGATGGAACCAGCGCAAACGAACACATCGCACTGTGGCCCTGGTCAGGGCAGCTGCAGGCGCATCGTGTTCCAGTCCGTGTCGGGTATTCCCCGATGATCACCTTTGGTGATGTCGCATAATAAAACTGGCCTGGCTAAAGCGCGGTCAGTCATCCGTCCGACGCTTCACCTATTGCTCCTCAGGCGTCTGCTCGCTGTGAGTCTCTCAGCCTAAGTGAGCTTTTGCAAGATGAATTTGATAATACATCAGAGCCCCTTCAAGTTCTCCGAATTTGGGCATCCCCCTCACCAGGTTTTCTGCTGAAGATGATGACATCCTGACTGACACTCTTTTTGGCAGCGGAAGACGTAGGCTTTCGCTGACTTCTTCTTCCTCTTCGTGCTCTTCCATACTTCTTGCTCCCTCTGGGAGGTCGTGAAGGGCATCTCTGAGCTGGGACATTGCGCACTTCCACTGCCCATCCACAGCCCGCCCGTTCACATACGTCAGAACATTGCCAGCCTGGATGGCTGTGAATGCAGAGAGATCTTCACTCACCTGCGTCACTGTTAGCGGGCTAGAATGGGAAAAACGCATGCGCAACGGCTTTGACCTCAGAGTTACTTCTGCCATGGTTCCGTCCGGCCGGGCGAAGGCTAAGTGAATTCCTTCAGTGGCATTCGGGCCATGGCCGCGATGGCCTCTCTTGTCGTCGCTGTGATCTACAGGACAACCTTGCTTTTGGTCTTTATGCCCTTCACCAGGCACTGCTTCTCCTGCGCCGTGTTGAAGGCCTTCTGTCGCCGTGGTGTCTGCCGTGTCGTGGGAAAGACCTCCTTGCGACAGCTCTGGCTCAAGGGCAGGCTTGACCAAGTCTTCGGAAGCAGTATTGAGCTCCGCCGTATCGACTTCATGCAAAGCTGGCGTATCCGACGGCACATCACAGCAGGCGAAGATCATGCGTCTCTTGAAACGACACGACTCAGAAGCCGGGTGTTAGCTCCCTGGCTGCTTCTACTTCAGGCTCACTTGAAGCATCGGGGCTGAGGAAATGCGCATCAGTTGCGACCAAACTAGACCTCACGATGATTCAAAGATCCCCGGTTGAACTCTGGAGAAAGGATCTCTGCACATGTCAGGGAGGCCTCAGGGAACCAGGCGGGCTGAAGAACATGCCATAAGCATTTATGGCCTGCCAGACCGGGAGGGCTGCTCTGGAAGACTGGATCCCAAACTCAGCACCCAGCCATCAGCCCCAGAAGGCAGGCTAGGATGTCCTTGGTAGCAACAGTGGGGAGTGGGGATTGGAGTTATACGAAGGCATGCTGCGCGGATGGCAAGAGAGCAGGCAGATGAAGAGAAAGAAAGAACGAGAAAAGAGACAAGGCACACGAAATCCACGCCCCGACGAGCTGCAGTGCACTCAGCAGCCGAGCCCAATCACGCTGTCACTGGCACAGACGGGCAGACGCGGACTGACACACGTGGAGGCAGACAGAGACACAAATAGCATGCAGGCAGACCGACTGTCAGGCCAACCGGCACACTGGCACAACAACCTCTGATCATCGTGGCTGCTTTCATACTCCAACCAATGTCTGCACCCCAGGCTGCCTCAGGGTAGCACTTAAATCACAGATGAACAGCGGCAACCTTCAAATTTTGTACAGTTGGCAAGCCGGAACAGGACATCACTCCGACAAAGTGTATTCGCATGATGCTGGTGGCCGTGCTCTGCCCCTCTGCCAGTCTACAAAATCAACAATGGAGCACCTAACACCAAGAGGCAGCATCTTGCCGTCACATTCCGTAGGCGGTTTGTAGGGTTGTTGACGATGATCAAGAGCGAAGTGCAGCTAGGATGCGAGCTACATCTACCTGAACTACGACGTCTATGGTGTTATCACAACAAGGGCAGAGGTTGGTCAGACACCCGGAGTGGCGCTCTGCGAAGCCTGTGCCCTACCCTTGGTTGCATCTAGGTTGCGTACGTCTGACGACATCTATACAGCGGTTCTCAGCTACCCGCCGCATACGCATGCAAATGCAGGTGCGCAATGGCTCACACACAAACACACGACCACACACTATCTCCGACACACACTCTCACATACACAACCAGAGAGCCAGCCAACCAACCAAGCAACCAAGCCCAAGCAGCCAACCAAACAACCAACAAAGAAACACGTAAACAGTATTAACAGCACTTCGGCACTAAGCCCTCGGCTGCACGACAGACGAGGTAGAGGACCTCGGATGAACAGCGAGCCGAGCCCCGAAAGATGTGGGTTCCTCGTTTCGACTGTCACGAAGCGGTTCAGCATGGACTGGGGTGCCCTTTGTGAAAATCTAGACGTTGTAGGAGCTTGGCAACCTGGATCACTGAAGCCATTGATCTCGGGTACACCTTTCACTCCAAGAACCTTTCAGCCTTTTAAAATATGGAACACAAAAGGTCAGCTGGAACACGCTGCAACCACGGCATCACCTGAGGCTCAACGAAACCCCCACAGAATGTCTCACTGTACTCCCCAGCTTGGCAGCAGACATTCTCGGTGTGCACGGGGTGGATCCCGAAGAAGACGGAAGCCAAGGCCTGGCTCTGAGCGACTGCTTTGAGGGCCTGGTGTCCCCCGATAGACCCAGGTCTGACGAAGAGGCGCAAGAAAGAGCACAGGGAAGGGGTGGAGCTGAATGTGTTCACTGCCCTTGCCCCTTCGGAGTTTCGGGCTTCGGCGCTCACGGTTCTGGGTCTCAAGGTGTCAGTTGGTCGCACATACCTTCTTTGCGTCGCGACGACATCCAAAGTATCCAAAGGCTAAGCGTGGGACTGCCCAGGAGCCCGGAAAGCCCAGAGCCACCGTCGCCTCGTCTAGAAGGGGGTTTCCGAAAATAGGGGACCCTAATATAGTACCCTAAATAATAGGATCCCTATTATAAGGACCCCAAAATAAGGTACCCCTCATTTTCTGAAACTCCCAGAAGTGGCTGGCATTCTCTCCTGTAATTTCTTGTAGTGGACTAGCTCGACCACTTTCCAGAAGGGATGCTTGGACTGCTGAGAGCCCAGCCGTGCGTCCTCAGGGCAACTTAGTCAACTTAGCACATAGTGGTGCTTTAAGATTGAGCTCACTCTCTAACCCAAAGCAAAGCGACACAACCCAGCTGTGAGCTACACGTCAGTTGTGTCCTACGAGAAGCGATGTCAAGCTGTGAAGGAGCACGTTCGTCACCTCGGCCAGCACTTTACAGTCCTTCGATGTAGCTTTGGAGCATGCCGGTCTCATGACAGTCAACATGTTAATCGTCACTTGCAGCACCAGATCCGTGAGACTAATTGGCTCGGCATGCTTAACAGGGCCATCAGAATGACTTCTGATGACTCTGGGCACTTGTGTGAGAGCTCGAGGCTCCTGGTGTGATGCTGTCACATCATGGCTTCAAGAACCGGACGTGAAATCCAGACGAATCGAGCCCGTGCAGAAGATAGTTCCATCCTCATGCGATCGTGATGACGGGGAAGTTTTATGAAGGATGCGGGCACTTGACTTTCATGTTCTTTCCAGCGCAGAACAACACCAGAACCCCCCCCTAGATTGTGTTTATCCTCTTCGGGCCAAACTCGCTCCCCGAACTCCGAAACCGAGGCGGCTTACGGAATGTCAGCGTGGTGAGAGGCCGAAACGACTTGTTGGTCCAGCCCGACCTCAGTACTGCAGCGCCGAGCACAGCAGCTAGCGAATCTTGCCCTCCATGTCTTTCGACTCTCGACGTGGTTCCTAACAGTTCGTCTGCCACCGGTACAACCAAAATGGTTCTGGAAGCCTCAGATGACCTAGACTGAAGTGGGTACGCGGCCTCGACTGACTTCGGACAACCTCAACCCCGCAAGCCCTTACTTCAACCCCAAGCTACTCTAAAGCATAAACCCTAAGCCCTACCTAGACTCGATCCTCAATAAAACCCTACACCCTAAAACCTCAAAGCAAAGCCTCTTCCGTACTGAACTCGGGCAACGCTCCCACAGACACGTACGGCCAGGTCCAAGGCAGATGGTGTGTGTATGCCCATGCATGCGATACATACATACATACATACATACATACATACATGCATACATGCATGCATGCATGCATGCATGCATGCATGCATGCATGCATGCATGCATTACATAAATACGGACATACATACGTACATACATACATACATTTTTGGCACTCGCGCTCGACACGAACATGCGGACATACATACATACATGCATACATGCAGACCTGCAGACATGCACACATGCATACATTACATACATAACAGACATCACATACAAAACATACAAAGCATACATAGCATACATAACATACATAGCATAACATACATAACATAACATAACATACCATGCATACATACATACATACATACATACATACATACATACATGCACATACATATACATACATACATACATACATACATACATGCATACATACATACACATACATACATACATACATACATCCATGCATGCATGCATGCATACATACATTACATACATTACACACATTCCATACATTACACACATAACATACATAGCATACATAGCACACTTAACACACACGACATACAAAACATACATACATACATACATACATACATACATACATACATACATACATACCTACGTACGTACGTACGTACGTACGTACGTACATACACACATGCATATACACATGCATACATGCATGCATACATAAGTCCGTACTTACATGCATGCTTGAATGATCGTGCCGTGTGTTATGTTGCACCACATCCTGGTGCGATCTATTGCTAAATCAGTATCGCATTACCTTTTATTGCAGTATTAGATATACTAAACGGTAATGGTACGATATGGCGATATATTACATGTTAGCATAACATGTTTCACCGTCAAAACATACTGTAAAACCCTGTATTGTATAGGATTGTCCTACATCACATCATATCACGTCAAATCACATCATACCGTGCATCATGTACCCACAACCCATACACCGCAAATTCCATTTACAACATACTATATACAACCTATCGTATACCACATATCGTATCATATCGCAATATGACATCTTGTAGTGTATCACATTCTACCACATTACACCACGTCACATCCAAACGTACCATAGCATATCATATCCTGCCTACCCTCGCATATCAAAGTGCTGCATGTTACGGCACACTACATTAGTTTCGGCTTTTTGTGCAAATGCAATATGCTATCTTGTATAGAACTCTGTTGTTATTTCTCGTTACGGTCCGAGTAAGTTATGTCTACCGGCCAGAGCTTTTGTATATGCATAGATAGCCGGTAGATGGACAGATAGATAGCCGTTAGATGGGATAAATGTAGGTAGATAGATCGGTAGATCGATGGATAGATAGATAGACCACCAAGCTGCATCGCGACCTGGGGTTTTCAGGTCGTCTGGATGTTTATGGTTTGACAAGCAGGGCACCGATCAACTTTCCTCTGCTGTTCACATCTACTTGATCTTCTGCTGCACTTGGACCAACAAAACATGAGCAGCTGCGATGAGACTCCAGCCCGTGCATCGGGAGGCCCCAGAAGTCTCTTCGCATCAGCTCGTTGAAGGAGAAAGTCTCCCCAACCACCTCAAGACGCAACAAAGCCTGCTTCAGTGCTGCTTGCAGGAAGTAAGTAGCACAACACTCTGGGCGATTGGTCTGAAAAGCATCACACACGAGCAGGCTGAGCATGCCAAGCTCAAGGCATTTGGATTCCTGGAAACACCTACCGTGTCATCCATGATGAAGCCAGCATACCTTGCATGGGGGCAGGTTGTGGGCGATGACCGGCATTCGTCTCGATGAGAAGCTGTACTGAAATATCAGCATGAACGTGCCGGCTTCTCTGCAAACTGACAAGACCTCACAAACCGGAGGAGGCTACGCCTCACGGCTTATCTGTTTATGGGCATACTGAAAACTGACTGTCAGTTTGGCAGAGGTCGCCATGTGCAGTTGGAGCAAAAAGCATTAATCAAGAAGCCATAGATTATGTCATGGGTCATCATGCTCACCTCCGAGGCTACATCTCACGCATGCGCATTACAAACACAAGGTTCCAAGTTCTAGTTAAGTGTCCGAACCTGTTCGAGTAAAAAAAAAGAATGATTCTCCGAACCAGCTGCATGGAGCGCTCCAGTGCGGGCACACTTTTTTGTGTCGATGAGTTTCAGAAAACTGGGCAACTGTCTGTACGCAATAATGAAAAGGGAACTGGTGTGCTGTGCTGTACTGAAACTGGGTCTACGAGTTTCAGAGGACTGGTCCGGCTACCGCTGCAGCTGAAGTGGTTCGTCTCTCATGGGTCGTGCACCGCACTCTGGGAGGCAGCGATTCGGGTCGTTGCCTCTACTTTTCGGGTGCAATGTCTCTACTTTGGTGGGAGGGGTGCCTTGCAGCGGGAGCACGTCCGACCTGTGCTCATCTGGCGCCAGCGAATTAATCTAAAAGAAGCCTGGGCCGAGATTCACACCTGACCTTTCACTTCGTTCTGGCAAGTACATCGCTGCCACTTCCAGCATACAGAATCTACAGCACCCCCGAGCCAACTTCGGCGCACAATGGCGTTAGAAGTGTTGCTCTGAATGGCTGGGAACACCGTGTGAACACCCACACACACACACACAAGCACGCGCACGATTTCAGACGACGGAAGAAGCGCCGTCTAGGCACCCTCATGCTCGGGTCTACATTCCATGGAAGACAGTTATCCTGGGAGAGGCTTCGCTCCAGTACGGGACTCCGGGACCGGAGCTGGGCCAGGAACTCTGCTTATTGGATCCTTGGCATTATCAAGTCATCGGCCGAGCGCGAATCTGCTGCCCCAGAACGAGGCCTGCATCCATCTGCTCCCATAGCAGAGCTCTGAGCGATGCCCACTGCGCAGGATATTTAGCTGTTTTTGTCTTTTCAGAACACGGATCTCTTGCAGCCTCAGCCTCATAGCCTGTCGTCCAGAAGCAAAGTCACACGATTGAGACACTGGATACTGCTCAGCGGCGGCACCAACAGCACATGCCGGAACTGTCAGCTGAGCCTGAAAACATCTTCGAAGACCAGAACCCATGGGACGAGAAGCAGTGCTCAACATCTCGAAGTCGGCATGTTCGCAATATTCAGACAAGTCAGCATATATCTGAAAGACAGAAACCCCTTGCAGCAGGTGACATTTCCAATGATGTGGATTCCCCTCGTTGTGCCCTGCTCTGAAGCGGTTATGCTCAACATCGGTCCTCCACACCCATAGGAGTGCACCCCGCTGTACTCTCTTTACATTACAGGCTCATCTGACTAACTGCCATCAGCTCCCAACAAGACATGTTGGTCCGCTACTCTCACGCAGATCCCCAGCAAGCCCCAACGTCGTGCTGGCATACTTGTCGCGGGCTACAGTTCTTTACAGTACTGTCTGATCTGCTTATGTACTGTAAAATTGAGAGCCATTTGCCAACCAGGAATCTGAGACGAGCGCAAAATCGCAACGACTTTGCGTCATGAAGTCTGGCGTCTGACTGAAATCTGCTGTGTTCACTTTTCGGGGAAAGGCTCGCTTCAACTCATTGATAAAGCACCAGGTCCTTCGCAGGGGTTGCTTTAGAGCTGCCTCCCTCCCTGCACTTGCTCCATGGACGTACACCTGGATAAACATCATACGACTGCTTGCGGCCGACAAAAGCATCGCAAATATCATGATCGGCCTCATCATCTATTTCATCTGTATGCTTGGGTTGCATGAGACTTTACGTGGCGAAGGTCGATACAGGGATGTGAATACACATCGGGGGCCTACGTCCGACAGAGCTGGCAGGTAGAGAGGCACGAAATGCCAGGTAGCTGAAGCTTCGCCTGTGCATCGCATTGCAACTTTAAGCATGGAGACAAGCTCAGTCTGCATCCGTATTTCGCAGGGGCATATACCCAAACCTATGAGACATTCCAGCCGTATCATGCAGGCTACATCCGAAGCTTCAAGCTTGGAGCACGCAGGCTCAAGTCGTGATCTTGCATCTCAAAGTCGTGTACACGTCGGTCCGCAAAGGATCATAGAATCATAATTCAAACAATGCATGGGCAGGCATCTTAATGACCGGGAGAGCCACATACAACCGAAAATCATGAAGCCTTGATTCACCGTGAAACGCCATCTCAGCCCGTGTAAGGAATGCTCTCCCAAGTCACGTCAGCTGACAGAATTAAGGATGCCATTGACACGATTATTTCACAACCTCCTCCGCTGTCACAGCCGGTTTTCATAATCTCCAAAAAAAGATCGCCGGTGGAACTCAATCCGCACCCACGCGACCATGGAATGCTTCGGAGTCATGGCCGGAGTAGCATGCATTGCATGGGCGACAAGCAAGGAAAAGGATATGCCGTCTGAGCCAGCAACGCTTAATGGTTGCCTGTCAGAGCGGCTTTGCACACCTTGTACAGCTCGTGAAGACGGTGCATGCCTGCTTTGGCTGTAGCGCTGCCCTCACACTTCATGCGGCATGTAGCATCGCAAGATTCCGTCCACACTTCTTAGGTGCACCATCCATCATGCAGCCTGAAGTATGGTCTCCCTGGCCAAACGGCCAAACAGTCCAATGCCAACATATTGCTCTCTGAAGTGGCTTCAAGCAAAAAGACCATGCCACCTTTTGCCCTGAAGCGAAATACCCAAGAGCCCACACTCCAGACTGCCCCTCAAAGGCCGGGATCCGAAGAAAGTGTTCCTTTAACATCTTCTCGTTTACGGTTCGAGGTCAATGTGAGGGCTGCAGGCAGTGTCTGTAATTTCAGAGGCCGACTCTACTCTTCCGAGCTCTTCCTGTGCTGAGGTTGTTGGCAAAATACTGGGATGACTCAGCTCTCTGCATGGTCTTAGGTTCTATGTTTGTGTAGTATGTGAAGCTAGAAGGATCTGCTGCACATAGTACACATACAGGCAGGCTGAACGAGTCATCCTAGTTCGAGTGAATCCGAAGTTGCCCATCCAACATGCGCTGCCCTGTCATGAGTCTCTGAGCCATGAAGGCAAAAATGAAACCAGAGGCATCTCCGGGATCCACCTCTAATAGCCGAAGGCCGACGCTGTACTTGAGCTGAGATGCAAACTGGCTGCGAACTCACCGCATGCCGTCACGCCATGAGCTGAAACAAAGTTGCCGCGTCCTACATCGTCCTACGAAATCACAGGCCAAGGCCGTCCGTAGCTTGTGCTCGGAGGCCTCCGCCTCGAGTGGTGGAGGATGGCTCAACTCCTTTTTAATGAACCCTGCCAATTACGACACCAACTTCAGTACGATCCGAAGGCCAAAATGCCACCCGCCAAATCAAATTAAAATATTCAACTTTGCAGCACCTAAGTGCTGCAGGTGTTGTAGGACTTGTCCTGAGGTTCCATCTGGAATCTGGTAGGGGCCAACTAGCCGGACGCACATTTACGATTTCAGAGGATCTCAGCGGTTGCGTAGATAACATCATAACATCACGCAACTCGGCATCGGCCACTACCGCATCTAGGCAGCATGAATCGTCACCATTTCATCTCGATCTGTCAATGCGACGGTTAGCCGCGCCAAAGGCCAGGCAGCGATGAGCCCTGTTTACTCTGTCTGTCGGATGCCTTGCACATTCCATGCTTTCCGTGGAAGCAGTCGGTGCATTCTCCTACCATCTCCTGAATCTCCTGATCGGCCCAACCCAGCTCTGACCCTGAACGACATCTTCATAATCGGAATCCGTAGACTCTGGCTGCCATTGGCTTGGTTGGTGCGACTGCCGTCAAAGAGTGGCTAGTCGGGGAGCAGAGCAAAAAGTGCAGGCATCCCACAGCTTCTCACGACAGGGCGGGTGATGCGTTTTATTCGTTCAGGGTTTCGGGGTGTACTCACACGTAGAAATTTGTCTTACGCCGATCTTGCTTCCCGGCTTGTTTGTGACAACAGTCATTACTGCGGGTGTTGCGACCCCTCTTGCTGCTTGCTACTACTAGTTCCACTTACTTTCAAACAGATGCACCGCCAGTTGAAGCTATCTTTGCCACTACTAAAACCAAAACTAGCACTGCCCAACTGTTCCTCCTATCACTGCCGACAACAGCGCTCTACTGCTATAATTAGGAGTTGTAGGCGCTACTGCTGTCTGCTCACTAAGAAGGCCATCACATTTACTACTTCAGAGTGTTTGATTCATTGTCTCACAGTTGTGCCACGTTGTTGTCGCGCGTTTTGATATTCGTGATGGTCATGACGGTGGTAGTTGAGGGGTAGTGGTGGCGGCGGCAGTGGAGGCGGAGGTGGTGGGGCGGTCGTCGTCAAAATCGTCGTCGCCGTGGTCAAACTCATGCCGCTCCTTCCGTGTATTTCAGATCTCTAGGACTCTGGGAAGCAAAGAACTGACATTTTGAGATTCTCCAGACTTCAGCTTCCGAAACATGATTCATGAGCACACAATACCTCTGCCCGGTCGAGAGAACATGCGACATGCGCAGAAACAGCTGAGGAGGATGCCTACAAGGTGACACACGGTGCTGCTCCCAGCTGAGCCACGCTGAGTCAGCCCAAAGGCTGCTTCAAAAAAGCATCAGCCGTGATTCCGCGTGCATGAGACGGCCAGGGGCAGAGTCTGCACCACGTAGCAGCCGTAGCAGTGTGTCTCCACCTACATGCCCTAGCACTTGCCATGGCATGCCGCACTTTAGCCAGCAATTACTTGTTGGTGCGTGGTGGACACACCAAAGACTATGGACTCTTCCAACAATTCCAGGGACCTGAGGGGAGGCCCGAATCAGCAGCCAGTTGCTTTCAGAGGAACCAGAACAGGAAGGTGAGGATTTTCACTGACATCTCCAATGCTGCATCACTGAAGTTTTGAGGAGAGGGGAACGGCCTCCCGGTTAAATCAATTACCCAAACAAGCCATGGAAAATCTTAACCCTGCATCAGGAAGAAGCCCATCCATGGAACTGCACGTACCTTGTGATTGTGAGAACTCACAAGCACAAAGGGGAATTCATGGTTCATGGTGGCCTCTTGGCCAGGGCACTGTGGGCGCTGGCTCCGGTTTAAATTTAAGCTCGCCTTTTGACAACCCCCAGCCAGGCAACCATTGGTCGATTGCAAACGTTTCGCATTGTGCTGGACCCAACACCTGATAATAAATCGGAGCGGCACAGATCCGCTCAGCCGCCCATTTGCAGGTCAATTGTACTCTGAGAGTTCGACCTGTGATGAGCATTGGCCGACACATGTCCAATGTCCGCAGCACACAAGTCTGAGCACAGACAAAGTGAAATGCTTTCTAGACCGGGTGGAAGTTTCGATTCGCTTCCACAACTTGGCAAGGACAAGGTGCACAAAACTCGCATGATGCCCGAATCACAAGGAGTTAGGCCCTTGAGCGCTTGTCTACCGCGGTGCTGTGCACTCTACTGTCGATGGAGTCAGTGCAGCCATGCGGCGCCGCGCCAGCCTTTAGCATCTGGCTACGCACCAAGGACCTCACACAAACTGGAGAAACCCACTAACCCCCAAACTAGTATAGGTAATTATACTATAAATATAAGAACGAACCCCCAAACTAGTATAGGTAATTATACTATGATATCTGCAAACCGCCAAAAGTTGTTGAGCACCTGGTCTGGTTCAAGCTGGCATGCGGCACAATACTATGAGGCGAACCCATTCGAAGCAGATCTCCTCCTGTGCTTTACTTGCTACCCAGCGATCAAACGCAGGCATGTTGCTGATGCGTCCTGTTGATCATGGCAACCCATAGCTTCATTGAGGCTACATCCTCCCAGAGTCCTGCCGTCAACACAGAGATCAAAGAGGCTCCAGGTTTGGGCTGTCATCTCGGGTGAAGGGTGAGCGGGGTCGATGAACTTGAAGTTGCCGACATCACCAGCGGCAGAACTAAGGCCTGAAGCAAACGATCAAGAGTCCTACGAGGGTACTGTGGAAGCCATGAAGGCTCTACGTTGGCACTCGCTCTCGCCGGCTGAAGGGGTCGGGTCATGTCCGCCCGGTCCTACCCCGCTGCCGGCACGGAAGGTCGTGTGCAGAACGCCAGAGGAGCTCCACACACACCTGCTTTCGAAGCTCGGCCGGGTGTACTTCAGCACAATGGTGAACCCCTCCATATTGCACAGCACTACGTTTCATTGAACTGACCCTCCGGGTGCGATTTTGCACCTACCAGTGCAGCCGTGTGGGCGTGTTGTTGCAGGGTGCGGCGAGTCAAATTTTCGGCGATGGTGCATTCTCGCTAGTTTTCGCTTCGTACCCTACAGGTACCCGTCCTCATTCTTCAACATTTCTTCACTCAGTGATTGGGGATATTGCACCACTCGTGTGTCCCCTTGCGGCTAGAATGTGTCTGCGGATCCCGATTGTCTGATTGTCTCGCATGCACACACCTACACACATACATCAGACCACAAACTTTGGCCAAGTGTATGCCATGTCTCCACCTTCAACAACAGTTGCAGGAGACCTATGACAACTGCCACAGGCAGGTCTCGTGACCTTACTCCACAATGCCGGCTGGACTCCGGCTGGCTTAGCTAGCTGTGCCACGACAAGGCATCTCGACCGTCCACATACCCTCCCTCCACCTGAATGTGAAGGTTCTCTCACCTCGGCCGGGGCAGTTCCCGACATGGCATCTGTCATTGCAGAAAGAGCTGCACCATTGTCTGGATGCAGCATCGCAGCCAGGATTTCACTGCTCACTAAGCCCGTCGCGGCAAAAGCCCGGATCCTGCACAGCCTTAGCAATGAGAAGAGGAAACCCTGTGCGGCAAGCATGCATATCTCCCCTGCAAGCGGCTGCTCCGTCCCGGGGACCCGGCCCGGAGTTCTCTCAACTTCAGCACTTCCAAAGGAGACTCTGAACTCCGATGCCAGCTTTCCTCGTCCTAGGGCTCAGCCGAAGAGACGGCCAAATCACTGCAACGGACAGACGGAGTGCACCCGAAGATCCTTGTAAACTTGCAGCTCGTCAGCCTTCAGCACGCCTCAGGATCAACGGCGGGACCTATACCAGCAGCCAGAGAGCATCTAAGGCTTGAAGCAACTGTGGAGCACTTAGTACCGGCCTACTCGTCCCAAGGCTTCGCGGAAGCACTCATGGTGATGCAAAAGCTGCATGGATATCTGCACTGTTCAACCAAGAGGCCAAACCGCTGATACCAGCCAAAGAAGCGGCCCTTCTGTTGCAACTCGCCGGTAATCAGCACATCATCCTGTTTCTCGCGATTCGCAATGGCTACAGTACTGGTCGTTCCGGCGGGGCTGCATGAGATTCCTACCGCCAGATGCAGTGCATGCTCCTGACCTGAGCAGTTGACAGCACCTGCACATTGATGTTACCTGCAAAAGACACCAGACTTCGGCCGCAAAGCCGGGATGCCGTGGGCAGCAATAATTCTGCAGTTCATGAATGTTCATGATCGGGTGGCCGCGTATCGTGAAGTACTATGATCTCAATAGAGTCAATAGAGGCGAGGCATGTCGCAAGGACAGTCATAAAGCACCGGTCCTGGTCCAAAGGCTGGCCATACAGTAAGAATCGCCCACGCCTCCAGTTGTTCTGAGGCCGACCTTGCAAGGGCCATTCGCTTCCCTTTCCCCCCTTATTGGTCGTCTGCAGCCTCGCGCCTGGAGGAGGCCGAGCCTTGAGACTCAAACTTTCGAAGCCTCGGTGAGGGCATGATGATATGCGAGAGCTTCATGCCCACTCCAGCAGGAGGTAGGCGGAGAGGACTCGCCCTCACCGACCTTCCCTGATTTTGCTGAACTCAACCCGGTGGCGTGGAGATGGGTCCTCTTCTTTCTCAACCTGACCAGCCACAATGAAGCAACAGTTGGAAGTAGGCACTCTCAAACGGGCTGGGGCGTCTCTTGAGGACTGCGAGCTTCTGAGAAGCAGGAACTTGGCCGCAACACGAAACGCTCCCTCGCCAGCCTGAGAGGATGCTCGGAATTGCCTCGGCTCCGACTGCAAAGACAGGGCCTATAGCCTAGGGCCTGGCTAGGGACGATGATGGCCTACTACCGCATGGTACTTATACGACCCTCTTTTGCTGCGTGAATGCATTCAGCATGTAGTCTGAGATCGGCAAAGAACAGCTTGGAAGGCATTTTGGACTGTGACTCTGCTCCGCCTTGGTCGGCGCTTCTGCCGGGGAGCATTGAAGCTGTCTCATGAGGATGAACTTGCACTGGAGTGCTGCCTCGCATGGCAAGCGTCTAAAATAGCATGTCACCACACACGATGATGTTTGCAGCGGCAAAAGGTCTGTTTGATGCCCAGAAGCCCGAGGTGTCGTCGGACTGAGTCTGGCTGCCTGGAGAAGCCTCAGGGATAAGCAGAGAGAGAGAGAGAGAGAGAGAGAGCGCCAGACCGACAGCTTGAAGTCATCATGATGTCAGCTGGGCATTCTCACAAACAGGTCTTGCTTCTGCATCTGCGAAGTTCGTAGCTTTCCCACTGTGGTGCACATCGTGTACAACAGTTTGTGACACTCCAAGGAGCTACGGTGGTCATCAGTGCCGTCGACTCATCTCGGGAGAAGCTCTGAACTGAGGCAGTCCTCTGCAGGTGTTTTTGTGCTTCGTGCGCATCAAAGTCACCCCGGTCCGGAAGCATCAAAAGTTCTGACTTGCTCACATGACTCACGAAAACCTTAACTACACGTCACTAGGATGTTGGCTCCTGCGCCAAGGATTTCTCACAACAATACGAACCATTTGTCGGCAGCAACACGTCGGGTAGTCACACTTACCAATCCCGCGTGCGTGATGTCTCCGCAGAAGTGTTCAACGACAAGTGGCGACTTCGTGACCTGTCTCGTAGGTGGTGCCGCCCTTGCAGAAAGAAGACTTGAAACAAGCAGCGTACTCTGCCGCTACACTCGCTTCGCAAGACATCGTGTGTCCATGAACATTCATTTTGGGGAGGCAACATGCACATGTCGCAGCCAAGTGCTTCCGAGTCTCTTAAGCTCGAATGTCATTGACTCAACAAGGTGCGCAGGAGCACCCTTTCGTCTTCTGAAGCTGGCCGCTAGGCTTTAAAAAAAGGCCGCGGCTGAGCGGGCAGGCTTGCGACACATCAAGCTGTTCCACAGCAATGACCAGGACCAGGATGATGTGCAACACTCAATATGTCTGACAGCAGAATCTCAGTAGAGGCAGGTGGCAAACAAGACGAGCATCAAAACCACCATCACCAGCCACTGCGACAGTTGCATAAATGGCAGCTTGCAACATCGACAACGGCGACTGCGTAAAACTGTCACTTGCACAAGGACACCGACACCATGATCAACAAGCCACCAGCGACGACAAACAGGAGCATTCATATAGAAAGCCTGTCCCTGTCCTAAACAGAAGGATCAGCTGCAAGAGTCACAGGCAAAGGCGTTACTGGCAGCAAGCAGAAACAGCAAGAGGAGTCTGTCTGCACTTACATCCTCACAACATACAGGTTGTTTGTTGTATGCCAAGCTTCTATTTCTTGCTGAGCTGTTACCGCAATTTTGAAACTCTGATCTACCAAGCTCAAACACAGCACACCGAACTCTGGAGTCAGGCTCTGCACCAGAACGCTTGTGCGTAGGTAGCCAAGATCAACAGTTGCCCGACCTGGGCGAGTTTTGAGGGAATCAGGGTGTCGGAAGCTAGCACATGTGGAAAAAAGTTGGGAACAACGTCAAAGGCTTCAGCCAGCAGCGCGAGGTACGGAAACCTGCAAGATTCACCGTGCAGCGACTCATGCACACTTTCGCCTTGGGCCTAAGTGCAGTGCATATCTTTTTCCGTAGACTTCGCAACAAAGGTGTGAAGAGCATTCCCAATTGGAGAACCTCTTGCAAACAGGTGAGTGATGACAGCCTCAGCCAAGCCATGGCCCCCAAAAGGGAAGCCTTTTCTGAGTGTCTTCGAAGCCTGCGAACAGCTGCTCTTGAAGCAGTTCCTCTGGGATGATGCCTGGCTTGACACCAGCATCTTTTTCAAGCCACTGCCAAAAATTGCTTCCGTATATGATGTTGTCCTCAGAAAGCAGGCTTGTCTTGGCCCAGCCGTCAAGCATTGTCTCGGTATGAAGGTTAGACCGCTACATCAAGCATACATGGCAGAAAGGGTGTCAGAAGGCTCAAACTAAGGCCAGGTCTGAGCATTGGTGCATCGACAACACCGGAAGCCCGAGCTCGTGTGGGATGGAGGGCATCATGCGATGACGAAAAATGGGAACCAAAGCATGCAGCGACGCTTGCTTCCTCACATCTTCGATGTCCCGGCTCTTTACAAACTCCCAAGTTGCGTCAGGAACATCTCCTTCCTTTTCGGGCGTGGCATGCCAGCGCTTCTGCTCGGAAACCGTGTCGTCCGCGGACCCGACGATTACCTCATCCTGGATGAGTTTACGCCAGTTGTGCCACCCCTCTGCCTCTGGCAGACCAACTTGCAGAAATTCCCTCAACTCGGGTGGGAAGGTAAAGCCAAACTTCACCTCGGCTTTCCGCATTTCTGCATCGGACAGGCCAGGCATGATTTTCACGCCCATGGAAGCCTGTGCCACAAATCGTAGAAGATGCGAGATAAGAGATGAGGAGAGCTCGAAGCAGGCAGCTAAGCACTGTCGGACCTAGATGCTTGCACTTGCTTAGACTTGCTGTGTGCCTGCATCTCCTTGATTTTCTCGGTGAAATCCTCGCAGCAGTGAAGTAATAAGTCAGTTCCTTCAACTCTATAGGGTCTTGCACTCAGCTTGTCATGTTCCGTCTGCACATACGCAGCTTCAGCGGTGCCTGTGTCACCACCTGCAGCTGGACCTCACCTTTGAGACCCTGAGATGCCAGGGTCGACTCGCCCTTGAGCACTTCGCTGTCCTGCAAGGGTCATCGTCGCTATGGCCGCTATGAGTCTGACGTAGACGTAGACTCAATGCCTTCACCAGTCGGATCCGGTGGGGCTGCTTCTGCATGCCGCGAGCCACGAGCCGACGCAGGGACTCGATGCTTTCGCCTTGTTTTCACGCAAAACCCAAAAGAAAGCGGGTGTGTCCCAATTGACCGCTGTGGGGCGTGTCACCGCCATGGCAACGACAAAATTGACGAGAGGCTTGCAGGGTCAACTCTTGTAAACCTGTGAATCTGGTATCGGGTTTCGGGAGTTATGCCCCGAAAAGAGACGGATACGGTTAAGTTAGATGGTTGTACTTATGCATCTAGTCAGATACTTAGTTAGTCAACTATCTACTTGGTCAGGGACTTGTTTAGGTTATATTACAGTTAGCAAGTTAGCTAGTTCGTTCGTTGGCTATTTCGTCAGTCAGCTGGTTAGTTAGTTGGTTAGCTAATTAGTTGGTTGGTCCAGACCCCCTGGCCGGCTTCAGTCGGGTTCCTTTTCTTTCTTTCTGCCAGGCGTAGGGGTCCGCTAGGGACCCTCAGGCCGTTGGCCCGCCCGACCACCCGTTGTGTTAATGAGTGGCCGGCTTTTGGAGTCCCAATGACCGGGGCAACGAGAGACACTGTTTGTCCCATACGGTGATAATGTCAGCCCCCAACCCTGAACCTATGGACCCCCTGGCCTCATCTCCGCGCCCCTATGGCACTCATCAGGGTTCCCTCTCGCTCTGACTCTCTTGCTCTCTCTTGCCTCGCTCTCCCTCTCGCTATCTCTCTTTTTTTCTGTTGGCCTAGTGAAGCCCCCCGCTAGTGTGCATTGCTGTGTTACAGATGGGAAGTGCTAGATACGATCAGCCAAACCAAATGACTGACCTGTCGTATCGAACAGCAGACATATGCAAGCATTGCATCAAGCCAGTCAGTGGGTCAGTCAGTCACGCCGTGGGCCGGAGGGTTGAAGGGCTGGTTTTTCACCGTCACTACCGTGTTGCGAGGACGAACCTACCCCTGCTGATTTTGATACTCAATCTGCTGTACCACATGTCGATATTGGAAGCCTTCAAGGCGAATGCTTGCAAGTTGCAGTCTTCAGCCGTGAATTATCTAGTCTGATAGCCCAGCATCAGCGCTTGCATTGGCATTCCTCGCATGGCACCCACGACTTAGATGCCAAGGCACGTGCAGGAACATTTTCCGGGCCCCAAACGATAGATCCTCCAGCAGGCCACATAGGTGCTGCTGCTGGCTTTCGGCGCAGCGCAGTATTTAGAACGAGTTCGGCTTTGGAGACTACATGAGACAATTTCCTCTCGATCTAAACCATTGTAACCTCCATCGAAAGCAAACCAGGTTTTGGATGCAAAGCCGAATCGTACTTTCGAGAAATGCCGGACCGACACGCTCCCTTCAACCTTAGCAGGAAGATGTAGGAACTACGATCTGCCGGAGTCCTGACAGATTACTCCCAGTGATGTTCACTGAATCGTCTCCCAGGGCGGCCGCCGAGTCGTCCATTTGGGGAGTTGTGCACAGCGTGCCCCTGTCAGCGAACAGTGATGGTCCAAGCCGATGGCTGCGGAGATGCTGAGGGAGGAGGGTGATCTGGGTTACAGCAGCTGGAAATTGAAGAAGCTGTCACCGCAATTGAGGGCACCAAGATCCGTGGTGATTTCCCTGTTTGCCTCTTTGTGCCTCTGGGCGACTAGGGCGTGCTCAGCGGAACATCTGAACCCAAGTCAGCTAAGCTAAGCATGCCACACGGGCTCAGGTTCCGTACTTCTTGGCCAGGTCCGAGCCGTTTCAGTCATCTTCATCGGTCCGGAGCCTGTCAGACGCTACGTAGAAGAGGAAACATAGACATAAGCATAAACTGGCAGTACCTCTAAAGGGACTCTAGCGACAAAACAGAGATGAGAGCAGGCGTGCAATCTAGGCATACAGGATCCGGAAGAACGGATGTCGTTTGGAAGTAATCAGAATGTTCAGACAAGCTCGTCTGCCTGCGCAAGCCGCGTGATCAGTCGAAACTGCGCATCGACGGAAGGGGTGGCGTGTCGCATTGAATCACACTTCCACGCAGCGCATGCGTGGAATCTTGCAGAAGCATCGATGCAACCTCAGTGGCTTGTTGGAGGTTCGGGTTTTATTAAATTAAGGACACTGAAGGCCTCAGAATCCGTGGAGCTTGTTTGGGGTTTGAGGGTGGAGGGTTCAGGTTTAGGAATGAGGCCGCAACCTCGATTCCAGGTCTGGGCCATAGCCTTGAGAAGTCCTTCGTCTCCCGCGACGGAAGGCCGAGTGTGATTTGCTCAAAAGTCGCACACAGCCGGAATGATCATGGCCTGTTCTATTATTCTACATAAGCCAACTTCGTATTGTATAAGGCTTCGCGGAGTATGACTTCCCAGGCCACAGACCGTTAGATCAAGTCTCCTATTCATGTATCTCCACGTTGACATGTCAACTGACCAGACAGATCATGGCGCTCGGTGCAAGGGACACAGCTCCACATGTGCGCAGATGTTCTGCCAAGCCAAGAATCGCCAGGTTGAACTGACTGGACCGGCACCTGAAGCTTGATGGGATCCATCGTCACTGCAGATGCAAAAGGAGGCGGTCCCGCGTCTGTGGAGGGCTGTCCTGCAGAGCCGTCACATGGTACGCTGGTGGCCTTCGAATGTGTTGTACTCTTAATCAATCACCCTTGGTCTCGCTGTCGCGGTGTTTGTCTGTCTCGTAGTCTTGCTTCTCTCGCCTTTGTCTCCGTCCTCAATACGTCTGTCCAACTTGCTGCGCGCGTCTGTCTGTGCCCTTCCTTCTGCCGGCTAGCTTGCACGACTAATTGGCTGTGCACGCAAACCTGGTTGCTTAGTTTGTGTGTTCGGTTACTCTCTAATTTCACTCACTGCTGTGGGCCTGCACGAATGTGTCCGAAGATAGTACGCACGGGCGCGGGCCTTGCATGTATGCAAGCTCTTCGCAATTCCTCTGTCTTCTGTAGCCAACAAACCATATCTCTATCTTGCATTCCGAAGCCCGATGTGGTGCTACTCGTAACTAGGATCCGCTTCCTGTCCTCGCTCATTCCACCTATGGGAGAGCAACTAGGGCAGTCTCCTCCTTGCGCCGGGACTTGGAAAAGCATGTTCTGCCCCAAACGGTAGAGTGCAGCCGGGGTGGAGGCCTGCACTGCCTGCACAGGAGTCACAGTGCATTGCAGGATCGGGCCGCAAGAGGTATGCAAAGATGGGGGGCTGCACACTCCTGATGACTCGGCGACTGGCTGACGACAGCTCCTTGCTGCTACGAGCTTGCAGTGTAGCTACGGCCTGCATCAGATTCGTCGGTACCTGGAGCTCTTTCCGGGTTGCAACCTGCGAAAGTTGGGGTCGGGGATTCTCAAGATGGCGAGAGACTGGGCAGTGTGCAATCTGTGGATCTGAGCCAAGCTGGCTCTCGTGTCTACTTAAAGCTTCCTTGCTTCACGCCCCCGAGCCCTCGCTGCAGTCTGCTTTCAAGCTTCATTTCGACTCCCCAACGCCGCACTGCCGCACTCACTCTCTCCCGTCTAACCTCTCTATGTCGTTGCAGCCTCAAGCCATGCACTGCCGCAGGTTCTGGTCATCGTATCCTACGACTTAATTACAAGGACGAGTCGCTGAGACCTTTCTCCACTCGCCACGCCAGAACTCCTGCGGCTCACAGGGGCTTTCGCATCAAAACTAAACCCATGATAAGGAGCTGATTGGTTAGAGTTGATGAAAGCTCGAAGCAAATGCAGACCCTCTTTTGTAGCGACGTTTCTGAATTATCTTACGTTTGCATGCCGGCATCGATTAGTAGACGAACCTGGGCAGAGCACTATCCCTCACTCTGACGCTTGTAGCTCGCACCACTGTGCGAGGAAATACTACCATCTGCTGATTCTGATCCATCAGTGCCGCTGCCATGGCACACTTCTAACCGCTAAGCCAGAGTTGAGGGTGCGCCTTCAAAAGTGCAAGCCTCACTGTCGAGGCACCTGGATCACTGCAACCGTCGTGCAGGTTTTTTTGCAGAGCTTGCCACATCCGACCTTTGCTTCTCCGCCTGCTCATACTAGATGCCGGTGTCAGCTTTGCTGAACGCAAGTTGCGCACCCAATGTGCATGTTGCTATGTTGCTGAAGCAGCATGGTGAGGACTAGCCGTCGAATTACAATGTTTTGGTGTGTTTCGATTCCTTGTGATACGAAACAAAACAGCAGTAGGAGGCTGCATCGTTTTCGTACCCTCTAAGTCAGTCCTTCCAAACACCTGGAGAGGCAAAGAAGGCCCAGCCGAGCTCGGCGCCCCTGCGCACCTTCGGCAGAAATCAGATGGAGTCAAGGCTTTGGGGTGATTTGCGGTGGCATTAGGATGCGGGGTATGATCGGACAGGCGTGTGGCCGAAACCGATGGCGTGGTGTCTCCGCGCTTGTTTACAAACGGGACTGGGATTTAGTCGAGGAGGTCCCGCCACAGGGTGCCAAGGCATGGAACATCTTAAGCCTTTCGCGAACACGGATCATTCACGTTTCTCGCGAAGTTGCATTCCCCAAGCGAATTCCATGGGATTCCATGGTATTTGAGATAGAGGAACAAAGGGGTAGTTATCAATGTACTTTCCAGGTATAGCAAAGCAAGGGCTCCAACAATCCAGAATGCGCAAACTTCTCAAAAGCAGGGAGCCCAGCAGCAAAGGCATTAACTACACTTCTGGCGGATGGCATCGAACGCAGAGCATGAACAGCTGGACAGCTTGATTAAACCCTGGATGGGCAACATCATCCTTTTATCTTAGACGTATTTCGGGATGACAGTGAGCGAGACAGCGAAAAAGAGAGAGAGAGAGAGAGCGAGGGAAAGTTTGGTGTTTTGTGTGTGTGTGTGTGTACCTTTTATAAACCCAGACTCTGCCAATCAGCACGCATGCAAAGACCTTGGTATCACATCATCCACTTCACTCAGAGATAGATGTGTTACTCCTCCCGTTTGGCCGAATACTAAGTAGTATGGCCACTGTCTCTTTGCCTTGTACTTCCTGGTGCTGCCTATTCTCCCTACTCTCACCTTGTGGTGTGGGCTGTGGTTCTCGTCCTCTCTCCCTTCATGGCGAGGTCAGGCACGGATGACCAATACATGTCCACAGATCTTTGCAACCTCAGGTACGACCGCAGACAACTTATTGGACGTCTGAGCATGGGCTCGTCGCAACAGGAACAGGAGGTCAGCCTGACAACATGTTTACAAAACATGTCGCGCCAAAGCATCGCGAAGAGAGTATTTTGAATGCACGCATAGAAGGTGTTGTTGATCTTGTACAGTTTTTGTGCCAAAGCCACGATGAAACAAAATGGCTCTGCGATCTTCGATGGTACTCAACAATCAGGAACATGTGCTAGAATCCGATCAAACTGCACCGAATTGAACTTCTGGCAACATCCCAAAAGGTCAGTTCAAGATTATGCTGTCCTGATCTCTGGGAATCATGGAGATTCGAATGCTTGGAGAAAGTCTTCGCTTGAACTCAGGTTCCAAGCCGTGAAGATTCCGGGCATAAAACGACAAGGACAGAAACTTGTGTGCAGAAGTGCATGCATTAAACACTGTCCAGAATGAGACACATGCAAGAACTTGTGTGAAAGGCTTGACGGAAACGAAGTGCGCAGTGGTCGGAGCTCACTATCACTACCACACATGCGCAACCAAAGCAGCACATAGACCGTCGTGACTCTTGCGGAAGTTCAGGTTTTCGCCACAACCCTGGTGTTTCAGTGCGCATGGTAGCTTAGGCATGAAATAGAAGTTCGCAATTCCCAGCGTCTTAACCCTTTACCAGGCTGGAATCTTAAGTTCAGAGCCACTCAAGCTCGCAAGCGATCCACGAGAAGTATTGCCGGCCTTCACTAAGAGGTCTGCATCCTTGTCCCACCTCTGGCAGATGGACCAGCGCTTCGATGGATGCTGCCAGTACATGAAGACATCGCGGGATTCGTCCCAGAAGGTTCTCGCATCGTTGACACGGGTGACCTGCGGGGACCGTACAGATCACAGCTTTTCTGGACTCTGGCCTGCTGCGGTTCACACGTCAGAAGGTACGAATGCGCTGACTGAGGCAAGAGCGGCAAAGACAGCCTTGTGATTTTGTGCGGGCAGGGATGTGCACGATGTGTGTGCCTGCTGCCCACCTACCGGGACAGCGCACAAAGACAACATCGCAGGACCTTCATCCCGCTGGGACCTGTAAAATTTACACTGTAAAGCATCGGTCACCTTCGGCGACGTCTGTGCATGGCTCGCTAAGAAAAATTGCGATCCGAGATTGTTGGCAATCGTAAACTCAGCAGCTCATCTCAGGATTTGGGATGCTGCTTGCCTTTCAAGTAGTCATACTGCTTTTGGGGTCCGTTCAACAAGTGGGCCAGACCGACCTCATAATTCGTGATGCTGTGTTCGAGGGAGCCCGCAGGCACCCAGTCGAAAACACCTGGCGAATCCTCTGCCTTTGCCTCGAAGCGTCCTTTCAGTGCAGGCATCCCGATGGCCTCTTGCTGAACCGATCTTCTGCGAGGCGCGGGCGGTGGCACCGCATGTCGCGAATGCTTCTTCGTGGCTTGTGGAAGACCTCGGAGAGCCTCCCTGAGCATGTCTTCTGCTGGCCTCCAGTTCACGGGCAGCTTTCTGCCATTGACGTGAGTCAGGATCCACCCTAGCGAGACTTCAGGAGCATCCGGCCGGTCAGCCTTGGCCGTAACAACGTACGGATGGATGCGGGAGAAGCGGATGCCCAATGGTTTTGAGTGGAACTCCACCTCTGACAATCCAGTTCTAGTGGTGAAGGTCAGGAACATACTCTTCTGGCAAGGTGGATCGCAGCCCGCATGCACAACCTCATCATCCTCGCCAACCCTACGGGAATGCAGAACCTCATGGAGTTTGCTGGGTGATCCTGGTGTGACTTCACTTGTTGCTGATGTGGGCCCGTACCCAAACAGGACTTCACTTGCAGCGTCCGGCTGTGCTTCGCAGCATAGCGCATGCATCGTGAAAGGGGGATCAGAGGGAAACCCAACTTTACACAACGGTTCCCCCTGATGGGCCTATCATCCTTGGGCCGAGATCATACCTAAAGAGAGGCACCTCTGGCTTCATCACTGCGCAAGCCCGAAGACCTGGAGCCACAGAATGTGCTCTGTGCTGAGGGCATTGAAGGCCTTGTCGGCGATGAAGTTGCGATTCAGCAGGCCTCTATGGAAGCCTGTCATCCTGCAGGTCTTGCGGTTTGTGAGTTTGGACGTGGGGGCGTTCATCTTCATTTTGGCCATGTTTCCAGTATCGCGGCTTCGTCACCACTGAGAAAGCGGTAAAGTCTTTTGCTACGCTGAAGCGTGAAATCCTGGGGATGTCGACCACCAAATTGCATGTGGCGATGTCGAACATCAGATTGCATGTGGCGGCGATGCAATGGGTACTTCGAGGAAGCTCTACGTAACCCTTTTTCGTTTTTCACCAAATATCCACATGCATACTCCAGAGAGAAATCGGTCATGTACGCTTCAGGCTACAAGCGGACTTGCTGATGGGGGTCGCTGGGTTTCAACGCATGATCAATAGCCCGGTCTGGCCAGCAGAACAAAATTGCGGCAGAGCCTGCGTTCAACCGGGCCGAGCCGATATTATACCGTCCTTATACCCAAACCCAAATCTGGCCGGGTCGCTCCAAGGAAAGCACGTCCAAGCTGTCAGCTCCATCCCACGGCTCGAAGCCTTCCGTGCTCCCTCCCAAACACTGAGCCCAGCTTAGATGAACCCTACGGGTCTTCAAGAGTTCCGAATGACGAGCACATACTGTATACAGCATACATCTACATGCAATCGTCGCACGGCAAGACGTGCGGCAGCTAGTATGGAAATTACGACATCAGTACAAATATCATTGCCATTGTCGTATTGGCCGCAGTACTTGTGGTCGCAGTCGCGTCGTCCTCACCGTCGGTCGTGGCTGGTCGTTGCGTGTGGTAGCGGCCCTAGTGGTGTTCAGCAGTGTATGTGTGGCTGTCTGTCTGAAGGGGCGTTGGAGCGAGTTCTATTCTTTGCATTTCGTCAATTACAGCAACACTAGAGTACTAGAGATGCTGGCAATCTGGCAATATGGCACCCGTAACTTTCGGATTAGCCAAACCAACAGAGTAGATGCTTGTAAGAGCAGTGTGATTGCAAGCACGGGCATTACTTCTTGCATCGAACCAGAAGGTTCTACTTAATGCCTTGCTACCTTGGTAGTACTAAGGTTTCTCATGCCCCCACTCAAGTTCTTATCATTCACAACGAGTACGTAGAGTGCGAACACATTCTAGGTCATGAAACATACCAGCATTTTGCCTCTTTTGGCAATGCTCATAAGGAATCCTCCCACATCCCCCAGCAACAAAAATGAGCAAAGTTGAACACTGAATACTCACAACAGGGTTCACGACACCAGTAGCACATAATCATCGTCAGTATGAGGAACCAACCGTGAAATTGGACATGTTCCCAATAGTGGTGGCAGTAGCACTGGCAAAACAAGTTTTTGTCGTCGTTGTCGTCGTCGACGTCGTAGTAGGGAAGGTATTTGGGGGTGGTGGTGGTGGGTGGTCGTCGTCGGACCGTGGTGGTGTAGTAGCACTACCAGTATCAGCAGCGGCCAAAGGTCCGCACCAGTCCGAAAACCAAACGCCCATGATGACGCCGAATTTCCAAAATCCCGAAAAAAGTCTCGCTGGCTGCCTTGATTTCTCCTGCTGACAACAGCTTTCCCAAATTCTCTACCTCACATCTCCAAGCCATGGCAAAAAAAACAGCCCCAGCCCAAATATTGAAATGTCCACATGTCTTTGTCACCTTCCATATCTCAGGGTACCCAAATCTCCTCACGCTACACGCCAAGGTTTGGAGTTTCCAGATTCTCGGGCTTTCCAAACTTCCGAAATTGCAAAACACTGACTTTCCAAAATGCTGCCTTTTGTTGCAGTTTTCCGAAGTTTACATGTGCCTTAAATTTTGCAGCAGCTCGACCCCCCGCTTTACGAGCGACGCCTAAACAATCAGGTCGGGGGGTGCAGGCAAGACGTCTCTGTATTTTGGAAATGTTGTCCATTCTGGAGACTAAGTCGATTATTACGGGCGATTTTGTATCGGATCTTTCGAGGGAAGATTTTTTCTACGGGGTGGGATTTACTTCAGTTTGCGAAGAGCGGATATGCTGGACACTCCTTCCATTCTGGAGACTTTGGATTTGCGGATGTAAGTCTTGGGCTGGGGTCATATATATATATATATATATGTATGTATATATATACATAGACAGACAGACGGACAGATAGATAGATTCGTCAGTGATAGATAAATAGACAACGTATGAGGATAGAGCCTCCGCCATCCGTATAATTCTGGACACTGATGTCCATGTGCATACATCTGTACGAATATTTACCAGAACGCAGGTCGGTTTCCACGTGAAGATGTGCACGGGCTTGCCCGCGCACGTGTGCATCCATGCGCCACTCTCTCACGCTTAGGCAATTGTAGATGTGGACTGCAACACGAAGAAGAAAATCACTCGAAACCCAAAGCTAGGGGTCTGCACCTGGGGGCACCACCGCCTGAGGAGATGATGGTGTCTGCTCCTGCAGAGAGCCGAGTAGACTGGTCGCTTCCGTTAGGACAAGGCAGCCTTGCCTTCAGGGTTTAGGGTTTAGCGCTGTTCAACACTGTATCTAGGACAGCCTGGGACAAGCCAAGCAAGGCCTGCCGAGACAGACATTTAATTCTCACCCTGACGCATCATACAGCAGCGCTTAAAGCATCGTGCCTCACCTTCTTTCTGACAGCACCACAAGGATGAATGTTGTCGAGTTAAGCAGGTACTCCAGCAACTTTGCCAAGGTACAGCTTGGGCTCAACATGGCAGCACGCAAGGACGTGAAACCCACTCCTTCAGCACCCTTCCCGACTCCAGACTGATCAAAATACAAGCAGTCTCCTCTTCACGGCCCTCCAACCGAAGTCCCACCGCAAACACATGTGGCAGAACCAAGACCGCGGGCTATGGCTTCTTCATCAGGTGCTTGCTTCAGTGCCTCACTATGTGTTGGTATACACCCCGTGCCTTCGACTTCCTAGCCAAAACCCTCCGCAAGTTCTAAACCTCTTGCGAGCCTCGGCGAGTGCCTCGCCGGAAGCCTGTCAGGGCACGAGGCAGGCTCTCCCGCTTCTCTGGCTAGGCACCTTAAGCTCGCCCAACAACCCATGTGGTCATGAGGCCACCAATCATCGCAGGCCGTGCTTTCTGACATCCTGACTTTTGATCAACCGTAGAAGTTGGTCTGCAAGGTCTGTTGCAGTACCAAATTCCAGCCACGAGCAGCTTTGCTTGCCACACAGACACACATTCTGGTGAAGAAACACAACCAGCAAAACACATCTGTGTATCTCAGCCAGAGCCGATTGAAATCTCGCAGGCTAGGTGCACTCACCTTCGTCATTCATCACTTCAGCTCTTACTGTGCCTAATCACAGACATGCAATGCGAGACTGTCTCAAAAACCAATTCTTCATCCTCCCCGCGCCCAATCGGGGCAGGATTGTTTCGGCTCTTCCAAGATAATGAGCTTTCGCAACTTCCAAAAACCGTAAAGCCCAAATCAGGAGACACTGATACTGCAGGGGGGAATGCTTGAATCCACTTACTCAGTCTCATACCACATGGTCGAAACTTTGCTCAGGCTGATTCGATCTGCTTCAACACCTGACGAAAACTTCCTTCATGCTCCCAGCTTGCACTTGATTCATGCTATCTGAGTAAATATTCAAGGCCAAGACGGGTTGATGCACAGCAGCCCAAACACACAGATACACACACACACATGTGCACAAAAACGAACACAGCATCACCAGCGCAGGCTTGGCTTCACCTCCTTCTGCTTCGTGGGGGAATCCAGAATGAAGACCTGCTCGGCTGGTCCCGCTGGGCGAGGACGAAGTCTCCTTAACCACGTTCAAACTTCAGAACATGTTCTGATGAACATGGCCCAGCTAGAAAGAGCACAGCGCCTAGCAAGTTACCTAAGACACCAAGGGGCAACGACTCTGTCGTGACTGCACCCTTTGTCGCAATACCTTGGTGGAGCAGTCCGGTTGTACGGCATGCTTCTGCAAAGATGATTCTGCGGTTCAACATGATTCAGACATATTCAGACAACGAGTAGCCTCTGGACACACTTATCTGTTGCACCATCTCCTGGAACTTTGAGTCAACCCCTCCCCAGGGCAACTCCGCTACGCAACCGTGCCGGTCCGATCCAGGGTTCGGGGGGAATCCATCAGCAACCTTTGCAGGGACTCTAAGGAGGAGAAGTCCCAATGGAAACATCGGGCCAAGCAAACCGACTCACCTTCGCACGGGTCAGACCCCGTGCGTCGGGCAGGGCAGGAATACCCCAGTTGCGGCTTGAGCTGCTTAGGAGGTCATCAATGACATTCGGAGCACTGATCACCTGCCACTGCACAAATCTGGCGTCCATTTCTGCCTACAAGAACAAAGTACGTTCTTCCCCTCGATGAGGCAGCCCCGCCTTCGTCGATTCATCCATACGATCTGCGACCTTCTGAGTTTCCTCTTCCTGCAACATCTCCAACAGATCCTTACATCTTTTCAATACCTGGGAGGTCGGAGAACTCCGCATCCAGGCAGACGTACCAAACAGGTCAATTGAAAGCTATGGACGAACATCACCGCCCTTCTGCATATGGCACAAGCCCCCAACAGCACTGAAACTACGAGCTGAATCCTTTTGAAGTCCTGGCAGCGAGGCCCAGGAGCCCTGCACATGTCGGCACCCCACCCTCCCCATTACAGAAGACATCTGCCACGATCGCCGCAAGAGCTCCGATAGGCTATCGATGAGCTGCCAAGGTGCCACCTGATCCAATCGCCACTGACGGTGCTTCTCACGGTCTTCGAAAGTCTGCAAGTCCCCCAGTCTTGTACTGGCTTGGAACTTGTCGGTCTTTTCATCGGCAGCGCGTCTTCGCCGCACACCTCTGAGCTCGCCTGCGAGAAGCTCTGCAAACGGCGGGAGCTGCTCACGCTCAACCCGGCGTAGTACACTTGCCCAAACATCCAACTGAAAATCTCGCGCTTCAAGTGCTCGATGCAATCGTTCTCGAAGTTGTCGAACCTGACTGGTGGAGATGGGCGCAGTGCCGAGTAAGGCTTCCATACAGCGGGTGCCAACATAGTACTGCTCAGCTCGCATTTTCCGAGGGTGCTTCCACTCGGGCGGGTCTCCTTTCGACCGTCTCAGATAGCAGCGCACACGAAATGTTCGCTCCGTGTAACACTTTTGACTGCACACGGCACATCGCGCCGAGCTTCGCTGTGTCTCCATTAGTGGGCCGGCCATCTTTGGATCATGCGAGAAGACATGGCTCTCTTGCTGAACAACCCAGACGAACTTTGTCCGATTCAGCGGCATCATTGGCTCCCTGTCAGAGAGGAAAGCAGCCTTTTTCTTCAAGCTTTCCTCGCACCCGGATGGATCTGGCTGTCCCTCAACATAGTCCGGCACCACATCCCTGACCAACTCTGACGTGCTGGTTTGGGGTTCCAGAGCCTTCCTCTTCCGGGCCACAGCCTTCGGCTGTGGAAGCATTGCCCTTGCTGTCCTCTGTGGCTCCATGACCTGCTTACTGGGCTTCGCTTCGGGGGCAGCTTCCTTGCGAGGAAGCTCGACAAGTGAGAAGAGGCTATCATCCTCCCTTGGCTGCCGTCCACCCTCCACGGCTGTCCTTGCGCGTTTCGCAACTCCTTTGTCTCCGTCCATTGCAGCAGATGCAGCTGAAGGTCTCGGAGGTGAACTCCTCGATGCCCCGCCGGAGCCTATGCTTGCCTCTGGCTGAGACACTGCCATTTCGGGTGTTTTCTTCAGGGTTGCGGCAAGAGGCTTTGTGTTTTTGCTGAGCTTCTCGAGCTTGTCGTGCTTTGCAGCTCCGCTTGCAGCTCGGTCATCTGACGGAGATGTGGCTTCTGCCTTGCAGTAGGTGACATAGCCCTTGGAGAAGTCGTTCTCGAAGTCCTGTTTGGCAAAACTGCCGAGAGCCAAAGAAATCTCATGGAACTCGGAGACTGTCTTCGCAGCCTTGTACTTCTCATATCTCGCATGCGCAGCCGAGGCCTTCCTCTTTGGATTCTCTTCTCGGAATCGAATCTGCCCAGTAGGGTCAAGCCTCAAGGTGCTATAATAATCTACAGCCACCATGTAGTGCTCTGGCAAAGCATAGCGGTAAAGATGGCAATGGACATCTGAGAAAGCTGGGTAATTGTACGCCGTCGACGCCCTGAACTCTGCAGACCTACACAGGCAACCCAGAGGACTTTAAAGGTCCGGGCATCTTGTCATGACTGTTACTACGAGCCTTGCTCTCGCTTATTTGGGTATGTATTTGCGGTATTCAGAAGATGGCTGCGACACCACGAGGCCCCCAGACACCCCCGAGAGTTGCAACCACGGACTGCACCTGTCGCGGGGGCAGCAGTGCTGTGAAGCAAAGCCATTCGCATTGCAAGGCCACTCTTTCTAGTTTTGCTCTTGCCGCAAAAAACTACAATCGTCTTGGCACATTCTGCCTTTGGCCTGTGCACACTCGCACAACCGGTCGTAGGACAGCACAGTCTTCAAAGTGCGTACGTAAACTGCATACCAACACCGGCACAGCATTCCGCTGTCCAACCGGCACCTCTCGTGAGCACTTGTATGACACGGACACTGCAACTCTGGCGAACCCAGCACCCGCTATCATCTTGCAAGGGCACTCGCCTAAGCCCGGTTTTGCAGCTTGTCCTACCCGGGGGTCGTTATACCCTACTGATTGAAGTACAATGACCGACGTATGTCACTCCGGAAGCCATGGCGCACATTTCACGAGAAAGATCGAGCAATATAAGTTGCTTGTGACCTGCAATCGCAGCTTGGAAAGGCACAATGATTTCGTAGTGGATTCTGATGCTCTGTCGGGAGTGGGGCTGCGCATGTTAATGATCAGCATCTCATCAGGTCCAAAGCGATCTTAAAATGCCAAGGCTGAAGCTTCGCCCGGTCCTGGGAGAACAAGCGAGCTCAGCCAAACTTACTAATAGATATATGGCACCGCATCGGGATTCGGCAGGGCACCTGCGCTGCTCGTCCACTGTAACCCGCATGAGCCGCAAGCACTGTGAACCAATTGAAGGGGAGGCAGGTGGAATTCTGGTGCGCCTGCTGCAGCCTCTCTGCACTGTGAGGCGCCCCGGATGGCTGAGGGCGCTTAGGTGATGACGGTGGGCTCCGTTCGGCCGGTCAGCCTTGACTGCATGACAATGAGCAGTTTGGACTTTAGACTCCTCTGCAGCTTTCGGAACTTTTGACTGCGGCTTGTCATGACTCCCGTCCCCTAGCAATGCCAAATAACGCAGCGAGTCTTAATGCCCCTGCCCTCTTACAGGTAGTTCCAAGCGCTCTCCTGAACCGAGGAAGCCGAAACATCAGACACCCCAGCTCAAACCCAGCTCGGTGACCCTGTGAGGTCGGAGAGGCTCAGCGCCAGCTCGGCGAGCGGTTTCACCACCTGTCAGAACAGACAGGCAAAAACTATTCAAAAGTGATCTCCTGCCTTTGTTGGTGGCTCCTGTGGGCGTTGTTGGGCGATGGATTGCAGGGCATTGCAGGCCGAGGAAAGGACATCGGCGCAGAACTAATTCAGCTGTTTGTTTTTTTTGTTGCGGGGTTTTGTTGTTATCTGTTTTGTACCCCAGGCCTAGGCGCGACAGGCCTAGGTGCAGATCGGCTTGCGATGGCGACTCCGGTCATCATATATCTTGGACACGCCCTCTCCTTTGGCGATTCCGGTTCATCATACATCTTCAACACGCCGCCACATTTGGCGATTCCGGTTCAACATATATCTTAAACACGCCCCCCTCAGATGGCGATTCCGGTTCATTATACATACACATAAACATATACATATATGTATATGTACATATATATATATATATGTATATCCTCACCCCCCCCCCCCCTCATTTGGCGACTCCGGTTCATCATATATCGTAAACACGCCCCTTCATATGGCGATTCCGGTTCCTCATGTATCTTCAACATACCCCCTCATGTGGCGATGCCGGTTCACCATAAATCTTAAACGGCGGACCAGAAGCCGACCACGGGACCAGACACCAGAGAACCGCGGGACATCAGCCTTTGGAATGGCAGTGCTGTGATTTACAGTTCTGGCTGCAAGTTTTGCTGATGCTTATCAACTTTGTTTGATGCTGACCACTTGCTGATGCTTATCAATTTTCCGATGCCTATGCCACAAAGCAGCAGGCAGAAAGCAGAAAACAGAAAACAAAAAAAGCCCAGTGAAAAACACAAAAACCTATGCAGAATACAATTCCAAAGGACATGACGCTAATTTCCGCTGGTGCACTATGGCACCTTACATTTAACAACATCCGGGTCACAGCAGGCTGCGTATGATTTGCCACAGACCTGGGTGGCCGAGCTTGTCTTTCGACCGCCGGCCCTAAGTTTCGAGAGTCAGCTTGGACTCCGCCGAGCCATGGGTCCTTCTCTCCTGTTGTAAGAAACATCCGGCAGGCATATGAAGGGTCACACACTCACAAAAGCCCGAATGTCCGAATCTACGAAAGCCCAACTGTTAAAAGCCTTGCACCATCATGTCTTCTTCCTCTCGTGCCATATATCGAGGGCTTCACACTTACGCCAGACATGCTTGATTATGGATGACCTTCTAGTTTCAACTACAAGTACCAGGGGGGCCCTCGTTCTTTTCTCAAGGCCGTTACGCCGATCTTCACCTCAAACGTTGCTACAATCTTGCAGGTGGCCCGTTTTCCCTTTCATGAGAGATCTGAATTTCCGACCTGTGCAACTGGCAGCGCACTCTGCAGATTTGCAGTGGCCCAACTTGTCACGCCTTCGCATAAGGTCGCTTGAACGCGGGATGTGACCGGCCTCGAACTGCGACAAGCCCAGGTTTCCAGAAGGTTTCTCATACCTTGGGTTCCGCACACGGACTGTCCCAAGTAGCTGGTTCCCCCGAATCCCTGCGATGTGAAAGAATTGAATCTCAATTTTTAAGAGGAGCTGCGGTCTACATGGCGTCATGCTCTTTTATTGAACCGGTACTGAAGCCGAGGCGTCCTAAAAGTCGAATTCCGACTAAAGCAGAAATGATATGAAAAGACTCTCGCCAGCTGTCCAGGCGGCTTCTCCAAGTACAAACGGATCGTTGCGCCGGCAGACCCAGTCCCGCTAAGGCGGAAGACGATGCGGGAGCCATCGGTGAATATGATCCTTGATTTTGGGGACCATACGCCAAGAACCCAACTACGTAAACCGGCCACCGGAGTACTGCGAAGGTCACTACGAGAACCGCTGATTGTGCAGGACATGCTACAGTGGCACCCCACACACACACACGCACGCACGCAGGCACACACTCTCACTCGCTCACACTCACCATCGCCCTCTCCATCTCGCTTTTACTGGACTGCTTTTCTATGCTTCGCTCCCGAATGGATGGACGGATAGATGAATAACAATCGTGGAAAGCAGTAGGAAGGTAGGCAGGTAGGTGGCTTAGTGGCTAGTGCATGCAAGTTTATTTTTGCAGCATCTCTTTCCACATGGCGTTTCTCTTGGGTCAGGTAGCAAATATACACAAACATAGACACACACGCACAACCACGCACGTTCGGGCAATACAGCATCATCGACACTCTATCTGGTATGCGCAACCTACAATGTGAAATCTTTGCGTGGCCACGGATCTTAATGCCCTGGTTTGAAGACACGGATTTGTCCACTGGGTCGTGGTACTCAAAGCTTTCTGCCGACTCCACTGTCATGCCCTTGATTTCTTGACCTGCCGAGGATGCAGCCGTTCCGTGCTTGAAATAGAGTCATTCATGCCCCGTGCATTTCTGAATGAGTCGCTAGGCTAGGCAGAGAAACACAGAGGATTTAGCAGTTAGCAGCAACACACGGCATGGCTGACACATGCTGACACAAACGGGTTTGTCACTGCCACTTATGATCTCTGCCTTTCAGGGTGTCGCACTTCTCCTTCAAGTTTGCCATCATGGTGTTGGCACCCTCGGAGGCTACCCCCTCGTAGTCATAGCGGCAGTAGTAGTTTCGGCCGTATGTCTTCCAATGGTCCATGGTGACTGCCTCCACTGTCACCAGTGGCTTGGACTCATCCTTGTTTTTGCTTGCGAGAATTTGAAGCCAGGCCAGCACAGCCCACATGCCATCCTTCTCACGAACGTGGTTGCCACCGGTGCCAAAACTTTCTTCACCACAAATAAATGGAGTGTAGCACTCAGTGTCGGGGAAGTACTTCTCGTCGCCAGAGTCCATCAGATTCCCAAAGAACTTCCAGCCAGTCGGGGTGACGAAGCATGGAATCTTCTTCCTTAGACTTGGACCCCGGCAATTCTTCAGAACAGAAGCATCCCATGTGGCAGAATTCACGAAAAACCATGAACATAAGTGGTCTAGAGGCAGACAGACAGACATACATACATATGTATATACATAACCTAACCCCATCCAAGACAATTCCATACCATAAAACATAATATCATACACTACAAGACGAGAAAATCACTTAGTGTAATATAATGGAACATGCAACAACAGGTAGGGCAAGATAAGATACGATATGTTGAGATAAGACGAGACAAGACACTTCTTTGCCACCAGGTCGAGCGCACCGGAGGTCGGCATGGAGCGAGCACAGCCTTTGAGCCCCTCCTTTCCAGAGTTCAGCTTTGTCGACATTAAGAGGTGCTACTCTATGGAGTTCCACACGTAACCTCGGTTTCACTGCGATGGTGGCGAAATCTGCCTCTCTGGATGGGGGCTTCTTTACTGTAACCGTCCTTGCTGCTAAGAGAATCTCAAGCCGTTGGCACATCCGTCCTTGAAGAACGGAATGCAGCTTATGTTGGCCGCGATGATGGCGACGCTGTCCGAAGGACTTACGAACCACTGCTTTCCTGCGGCGCAGGAAGAATCTTTCGACGGCCGACCCAGAAGATCAAAGACTTTGAAGCGTCAATCTCCCATGAGGCAGAAGGTCCTAAGATCATATTCCGATCCGCATCCCCATCAGCCGCCGCGCCGAAATCAGGCACTCCCTCACCGCTGCCAATCTTCTCACCTTCAACCACAGCTCGCACCCTGTGCAA